TCGTATGAATTTTTTTACAGAAATCACATATTATGACAATTGGTAGGAGACAAGGTTTGAACCCTTGATCTCCTATCCGACCAAGTCTTAAGGACTTGGTGGTAGCCATGGGTTGTTGGTTCATGACATGTGTATGTAATGGTAGCCATCCGTATTTATACATTATCAGTTTGATTCATTCATAACATGTACATTCAACTTTTACATAATTATTATTCATTTAGAAAATGATAATGATTGGACTAACTTTTGAAGTTATAACGCCTGTCCTGTCCTCCTCAATTCTTAAGAAGAGTCGTTACAATATTCATTATTAATCACATAATGCACCAATATAACAAACCTCGAACCTTGCACACCCAATTCAGCTCCTATGCTGTTGGCCCTGCTGATACTTTTCCAATTTCACTTCATCAATCATGCCACTCACCTAATTCCTTTCCTCCCTTCCACTTCCCCCACCCGCAAATCCACTGTCTCTGCCCTTTTAATTCAACCTCTAAACTCTACCTTTTTTTTTTTTTTATAACGAAACATATATTATTAACGGATTGCTGAAAATTGTTTCTCACAATTGATATATATCGTTATCCTAAAGGTAGATAAAATATGCACTAAAATTATAGATTTGTAATTTAATAGACACAAAAGACTTGAGAAATTAAAAATAGATTTAAAAAAATATCATCAATTTTAAAGTCATCTCCTTATAAAATAAATCGCTGCAACCCACTTTATGCATGTTACAATCGTCAGATTTGCTAATTAACAGCTGTAAATTCCAATAAAACTGATGAAATTTGCCGACATAAACCCAAATCTGAAATAAATTTAGGTCTGACGACTAGATCTGAAGTGAATTCAAATTTAAACAACAAAACAAGGAAAAATAACACAAAATCTCACTAGGAACTTTTAGGAGAACAAAAATTCTCACTAGAAGCCCTAAAAGAAATAGAGATCTCCTACTAAGAAAATTGAGGGAGACTTTATTAGAAAAATAACAAAAATAAAATATATGAGAGAGAGAGAGAGAGATCAGGGAGACTATGGTGGTCTCTCTCTTGAAGAGGAAGCGGAAGGAATTCAAAGAAAAGGAGTAGCAGAGAAAAGTTTGGGAAAGAGAGACAGTTGGGCAAAACAACTTTATTAAGCCATGATTTGATTTCTGCCTCTGCCTTTATTTCTCCTCTACTTCGTGACTTTGTCATGTCAGTCTTGCAATCTTTCTCTTCATATATTCCCTTCATCCTCCAGCCCCTAATATTAGCCACTGATGGAATTAAAGTAAACTGGAATACCAACTTTTCTTTTTAAGTGTACAATTTTTTCATCTGAAAATTGAAAAAAATTAACTAAGAGTACAATTTTTAACAGCTATCTTTATTTATTTTCTCTTTTGTGATAAATTATGCACTATCGAGTCAAGAGATGGGAATGGAAAGAGTGCTGGTGCCAAAACTCCAACGTGCAACCTTGGTGTAAGCCAAATATTTCAGCATTACCAAACATTGTCCTAATAATATGCATGGTCGGCATAGTTTCTTTTTGCCATTATTTTCTTCAATAGAAAAGAAACGATTTGTTTTTGTTCTCTGTTACTAACTGTATCATCTATATATATATAATGCGATTCAGTTCCTCATTTCTTTCTCCTCCTTTTATTCTATTACGATTTCACATGTTGATGAGTTCGATCGAACTGAAAATCTTGTAGTCTTAAATTTTTACTATGTGATTTATTAATTACTAAGTGCAGTATAACATCCTAGTAGCTTCTCTGAAAAAAAACTAATAGCTTGTTCCTGGTATCCTCTAAAATCAGCAGGCCGAAGGTGCCATGCAGGAAATTTCTCATCTCCTTCCTGGCATTTGCTCTGTATCTTCGTACTTTGATTAAGTGCATTATTTAATGGCGTAAACTCTTAACATTGCAAGGAAGCTGAGAATGGTAGGGTACGAAAGGAAAGTGACTTATGGAATCACCACCACCCTGTGGGGTCCGGGGTCCGTCCCCCGTTCCTGATTTTGCCTCACATTATATTGCTATTTTTTGAAACTTCATTAAGTAATTTATTAAGTAATTCCCCATTCCTGATTGTCTATTAAGTAATTTATTTACACGGGTGACAGTCCAATGATATTTATCTTTGAATTGCTATTTTTTAAAATTTTTATTCAAAGAGAGTATATAATTATAATAATTTGACGTATGTAAATTAAAAAAGTGGTTGACGGGAACGTAAAAGTTTTTCTTTCGGAAAAGGAAAAGCTTCAATCTGATTGTCGAAAAAAAAAAAATGAAAAGCTTCAATCTGATCAGGGCTTCAGAGGTCATTTTATCAGCTTATGCACTCGTTCACAGAAACTTCCGCTTGACGGTCATACTATTCTCTCGTATAAATAGTATTAAGACTCGTGCCCCCTTTTGCATACCGTTTTTTCTTCGGTGCCATCTCATCTTTGGAGACCTGAAACAAGTATCCAGATTCAATCACTCAAAAGAAACTGCAAAATCTTTGGTCAAGATTATTGAAGATGGCTGGGATGCTTCCTGGAGTAGAAGTTGCAAGGAGGAGGAGGTTTCATCAAAGTGGAGGATGGCTTGATTCTTCCAGTGCTTCACCTTCTGGTCATTGTTCAACTAGAAGGTCTTCTTTTTGTCTATATGTCAGCAACCATGAATCCCCTCTCAGCTCAAGCACATCTATTGTGGTTGGTACCTCCTAAATTTTGGATGTCTGGTTGTATGAATGCATGAGTTCTTGAATATCAGAGCCATATATAACTTCGTAATACATGAAATTGCTTGCAGCCCAGGAGCTCAATAAGCCAGGCATACTGTGATCAGAAGCTGAATGATGCAGCCAGAGAAGCCAAACAAAGGTTGGATGGGAGGCTAAGAGCACAATGGAAATCAGAAACCAAAAGGTATTTTTTTTTCCAAATTCGGGAAAAGAAATAATCCCAGTCACACATTCATGTGCAAAATGTATTAGTACTAGCTCTTTTTTTTGTGTGTGTGGAATTTCACCGGAATATTGTTTTCCCCTCGTTTCTCAAAATTTGTGATCATGTTCAGGGGTCATAGCGGCCGACAAAGATCAAGACAATCGGAAAACAGGCCTACAGAGGTAAGAGAGTTGCAAACAGAGGTGTCGGGGGTAAAGAAAAGCGGATCGAAGAGGTTCAGTTGGGTGAAGCTAAGCTGGAAGTCATCTGAACAGGACGAATGTGCTGTGTGTTTGGAGGAATTTAGGGCAGAGGAGAAGCTAATGCAGTTAGCCTGCGCCCACAGGTTCCATTCAGGATGTTTGGTGCCATGGCTCGAGAACAATGCCCACTGTCCTTGTTGCAGAACGGAAATTGTCCTATAACTAGTGGGAGGGTAGTCAGTCAATAAAGGGCATGAACTACTATCAATCATTAGTTTTAGCTTCTAGCAGCCCAACTTCTTGATGAAAGTTTGAGGTTGAACAATCACTACTGTAACCTACATAGATTCATTCACTACTGTCGTGCATCCGAACAATACTCTCTCTTTTTTTGGTTCTGTATCGTACATCCGAACAAACAATTTAAAGATGCTCTTCCATATACTAGGGATTTTTTTTTTATTGCCTTTCTTTCTTTCCCTTTATTGTCAAATCAATCTCGCTTGCTTTCAGGAGTGAAATAGTAGTAAATCATAAATGGGAAAACCTTTCACCTCGGTAGGTTCACTTTCAGTGCAAGAGTCGATCATAAATTTTGTCCCTAAAGCTGTTGATGAATTGATGGGTAGCAGCTGAGGATCGAAACAAGTGAATTGAGTTGCTCCATAGATCACTGTCCGTGATTGATTTTGCGCTGTCATGATAGGAAAATTGAAACAAAATGCATCAGTTCTTGTCTCTGATGGGCCCAAAATTCCTTGTACATATTTCCCCTGAATGAAAGATGACATTCTATTATTGGTTTCTGTCGGTTCATGATGCGCTGTCTCCAATTTCAGCTTCTGGTTTAACAAAATATGAATCAAATGTTTGGTGGGAATAGTTAACAATTCAAGTTTAATCCTCTAGTTTCACTACTATTTCGAGGAAAATACAAGTTCTTATCATTAACTTGCTCGGTTCGCCATTATTTGTATGAATTGCTATTAGAACAGGAACAGGTCACCTACCTAACTAAGGATAAACCATCATCTGCATCTGTGGATGCTGCTGCTTTTACTTTCTATTCTCCTTGTGTCTTGTAGTACTAGCTAATTGCAGCCTTTCGAAAACCAAACTCCAAAAAAGAGTTAATTTATTGATTCAAAAAAGATTGTGCCTACTTTTATAAAGTGGATTCCATCTCACCATTTCCACTATGCATATCTGATGTGCGTTTTTTGCTTAATCGCCCAGAAGTAAAAAAATATATATATATATCCACCCACCCGATTGTTATTATAATCGTGTTTAAAACTAGGAAAATTTGCTATTGGCAAATGCCTCTTCTTGATGTTTGTATTTCTTTGATCTTTGAGTTCCAAGGATAACTTTTTGGATCCTTGATTTTTTTTTTCCCTTTCATATATAAAAGTTTGAATGAATCGATCACTACTATGAGTTAGCACGGGATTATTTTTACGCTTTGTTATGTACTATGTGCTTATTTTTGGCCTTTTCAGTTCAAGAGGGCTTTGACTTTCACTGCCGCTCTGATGAGTTAAGTCCAAGTTTAATCGCCTTCATGGGAATGGACCTCTCAAGTTTGAGAGCCCAACTTCATTATTGGCCTTTCTGAAATCAGGCCTCTTCGTACCCCAGTGATCGAAAATTTTCAGCGAGTCAACGATGGTATGCAGCCCAATTGATGATGTATAAAACAGACGACCCACCACCGGTGGGCGACTGACGTTCTGCGTCGTCGTTTCTCACTAAATTAACGTTTAAAATCCAACGGCTAGTTTATAGAATGACCGTTTTGAAACCAATAATTCAAAGCGCGACCTCCCCATGAAATTCACAAGAAAAAGCATTTCTCTTCAGACATTTGAAAAAAATACGCCCCCACAAATTAAATCCCTAAAAATTATAAACAAAATCCTCAGCTCAAGAACAAACATTCAGCCAAAAAATCCGTCTCAAATTTCTCTACAAAATCTGCAACAGATAATCATTCCAAAATGGTTTACACATACACTCCTACATATTACAGTTCACTCCAAGATTCAATAGCCTCTTTGTGCAAAAATATCCTTCCATTTTCTTTCAAGAAAAGGCGGTTGCCTGCAATCGCTGCAGCTGAGCAGAGGCTATCAAAGCAGCAGGCTGACAACTTGAAATGGCAGCAAGATTCATTCCACCAGATACTCAAATTAATGGGCCTCTGCAAGGAAGGGATTTTGCCCGAAACAGAGGTCTCTGCTTTTAGATCACATCTATTAGATACCCTTATTGCTTCACCACTTGACCATGAACATTCTTCAATTTTGAGGGATAAATTGCTCTTCTTGCAGGTCAGTTCTTATTGCTGTTTTTCCCCTCTAAGTCTTGATAGCTTGATTGAATTGCAATGCTTTTGGTTCTTCTTTTAATGCCCATTTAGATTCATATGGTGACACTTTTGAATCCTTAGACAGACAGGGATGATTGCTTTTCAAAAATTGGATATCCAAAAACAAAAGATGTGAAGCCTGACGATTAGATACTATATCTGATTAGAAAATGGAAAATTAATGCACAATGCACCCCAATAAAAAGTGTTCCTTTATCTTTCTAGGAGCTACTGTATGCAAAATGCATATCAGAAGATGAGTATCATTCGTCGAAAAGGCCTTTGTTACAGAGGTTAGCAGTTCAAGGAGCTGAAATTGAGGCAAGAGATATAATTGTTGGTGCTCAGAAAGAGAGTTCAGATGAAGTGTGGTCTGTGATAGATTTGAAAGACGAGAAGTGTATTGTTGGCAAAGAAGGCTCAAATTTGAAGAAAAAACAAAAGCAAGGTTCAGCGATGAAGCAAATCAAAGGGGGGGCTGTATCTGTAATGGGCTTTGGATCGTCAAATAAAGGTGCAACAACTAAGGAAGATAAGGGTTTAACTGCTCCGGGTGGTGAAAACAGTAGACCAGCTGATAGAAGGTATGAAGTTGAACTTTCTACGGAGAATCCTTTCTGGAATAGTCAGTTCAGGGAGAAAGAAAGTGAAACAAAATCTATTCTCATGTCAGAGAGTTTGCCAAATGAATCCGAAAAAGTTGAGAAGCAAAGTGGAGGTGACAAAGGGAAAAGAAAACCCTTCAGAACTCTATTTCAGAGAGAGCAAAAAGAGGGACATGTGAGCACTAACGGGGATAATGGCTGTGGTTCTGAGGAAAAAACCAAATCAGGAAAGAAGCAATGGGGATTTGAAGGATTCAAGAAATGGAAGAAAAATGACTCTGATGACGAAACTGCTCCATTGGCACTAAATGAGAAGTCAAATTGTGGAATTTATAATTCACAACTTGTCCAAAGCCCCGTTGGCGAGGGACCAGACACCAAGCAAATTAAGAGGAAGCTGCACCCAGATGGTGCACCTTCAGATTTCTTTGTTGATAAGGTGTAGTATATCGCGTAATTCTTTTCTTGGCCAACGAACTAAGAAAGTCAAAAGGCTCTCTTTGGAGGTTTATTGTTGATCTAATTGCTTTTCTGGTTATTTTAGGTTTTGGAAGATAATATAAAAAAGAAGCTGTCGCAAATTCGATCAGAACTTGATGCCAAAAATCATAATGTTCATTTGTCGTAAGCAGTTCATTCCTAGTCCTTGATGATGTTTATGCAATGCGCTTCTTCATCTTCAGTTAATCGTATTGTATGGGATGGCGTCTGATAGATTCTTTTATGTGGATGATCAGAGATGACCAAATTGAAGCAGTTTCTACTAGGCTTCCAGTTGACAAGGCTGATCTAAAACAGTTCTTTCCCAAGTAAGACTCACCTTTTGTATAGTTCTCTTCACACAATGCTTTTTTCCCCTTTCACATGATGGAAGCTATGACACTCAGAGAATTGAAATAACTTCCAGTAAATTTGGAGGTAAAGATAACTCTGTTTGCAATTTAGGTAATTATGCAAATCTTTGTTCTCTTTTTGGCTGTTTTAGGTCATGGTGCGATCAGTACGGTGATGTCGTTTTGGATGTGGTGAGGAAGGAATTCAAGGACCATGTTGGACAAGTGAGTGTTGGTAGGGAAAAGCACAGCTCCAAGAGATGGACAACATTTGATGATGATGAAAATTGTCACCCCAATCTCTTTGCTCCAGAGGAAAACTTCTTCCACATGAAGCAAGACAAATCCAATGCTTTGAAGAAGGATCATCTGTATGCTGCTGCTGCTGCCAACAGCAGTATTGAGAAAGGCTTCAAATATAATCCCTTCTTTGATATTTAGGCCTGCTTCAAATTAATAAAAGAGAAGTTTTATAACCATCACCTTCTTCAGCTTTGTTCTGAGGCCAGAATCCTCTCTGGACTCTCACTGGAGAGGCAGCTGGGCTCCTTCCAAAGCCCTTGCTAAAAGACAGGCACTATCTTGTTATGTATTTCTGGTACTAGTATAGTTACAGTTTGTGATCCTGTTGTGATAATCAACTATTAATAGAATTCTTCATTAAGAAACCTCAACTTGTTGATTGAATGTAGAACTGTCGGTAGTTCTGAATCTGTAATATATGTGACGCAACCAGATCTGTATGATGAAAGCTCTGTTTTCAAACTCGGACCGGACCGGCCGGTCGAACCGGGAACCGGCCAGGTAGCCGGTCCGAGTCACATTAAAAAGTGGTCATCTTCACAAAAAATAAATGAAAAGCAATTTGCTAGGATTAAAAACCGGAAAATTCGTCACATTAAAAACCGGAAAATTAAAACCCGGGTTTGACCGGGAAAAACCGGTTTTTCCGGTTCAACAGTAATTTTTTAAAAAAAAATTCAAACTTTTTAATATTATGTTTTGACCCCCTAAATTGTTAAAACTTATTGGTATACCTCAAATATTTGATACTTTATAAATATTGTCCTAAAATTTGATGTTATTTTTCAATTAAATTCATAATTTTAATTCTAAACTTGTTAATATTTATTAAATAATATAAATTGCTACTTGTTCTAATTTCTTTGTATTTTCTTGTTAAATATATTTGAAACATCAAATATATATGGATATACCTTTATTAATATCAATATATTATTAGATATTATATATATAATATTTTAATTTTTAAATAATTTTTATTTATGACGTCATCCGGTTCGACCCCTATCGACCCCGGTCGAACCCATTGACCCCTGTAGAAAATCGCATCTACAGCAGTTGACGCTGTCTATCACTGTCTTGGTAAACCCGCAGCCATGAATACAAATACCAAATTTTAGTTCTTGATAAGAGGGAGAATTTTAGCATTGTGTATCGCAAGGACGGTTTCTATAATCTGTCGATACCGGTTAGAGTTGAATTCTGCTTGCTACATTTATTGAAAACACGCTTTGCTTCCCTTTGCTACATTTATTGAAAACACGCTTTGCTTCCCTTTGATACCGGTTAGAGAAGGATTTGTTTATGAATTTAACTGAAATATATAAGAAATTTGCCTTGAATCAAAGCAATGGTCCAATAAATTTTAAGTGAGGTACATATTTCTCGAAAGGCTACATGCAACAACAGCTCAAGAACAAAATTGGCTTATGTACATGTGTACATAGAAAACCTCTCAAAAAGAAGGAACTCCAGAGGTTGAAATAGCACCTCCTGTCAAGCTTAAACCCTCACGAACATCTCGTCGACAGAGGGGGCATACGCTGGAGTGTTAGAGTAGAAACAATGCTGAGTAAACGCAAGTAATACGGAGCTAAGTTGAAACAGAAAAAGAAATGAATGGAAGATTTTGCAGGAAAACAGATGGTACGTACCCATGTATTTCTTTAAGCCATTTATCAATACAGGCCACATGATACTCATGGTGGCAAGGGAGAATTCTTATTTTGTCCCCCTCTTCGTACTCTGCCAAGCAAATATAACACCTAGACAAAACAGGAATGGGTATCAGCATGTAAAGTACCAGCTAAGAGGGACTGCATGGCATACATGGAACAACTAAAAAGTCTGTAAACATACAATAAACTTTATACTACGGTATGTGTAGCCATTAACTGCAATAGTTAACTAAATATCTAGGTATTAACCACTTTCAGAAAACAGTTCTGTTTGCAGAAGCCCAAAGTGAAAGATACAAAGAAGGCTATGCGACAAAAAATCCATGTTAATTTATCCCGCTTCAGTTGGAAATTAAGTAGCTTTTACTTCAGCATACAAGGAAAGAGTTATTTAGCAGGACAAAATGCAAAGTTTCTGGTTTGAACATCATTTGCTCGGACTTTAGTGGGGGAATTGCCAGAGAGAAGACAAGATTTTCTACCTTCTCAAAACTTTCTTTATGCAATAAAGTTATCCATTACTGTCCTTCCATATTCCCATCAGCAAACCTCTAGTGTGCAAACTCCAACATCAAAGTAAACATGCATAAAATAGTCAGGGAAACTTACTGTATAACATCATCTCCACTTTCCAGTCTTTCTGGCTTCCTATGAATCTTCACAGGTAGAGAGTCAACAACTGTCTCTGGAGCTGGAACTGAGACCACAGACAAGGGTAGTGACATGGGTTGTCTATGTATTTCATCTAGTACCTGGATATTTCAAAATAAAATGACAAGTCATTAGCAACTTCTAGGAGATAGCCCTTCCCTTGCTAGAAAAAAATTTAAAAAAAAAATTCTAGGAGATGGTAAGATATGAGCATGTTGAACTATAAAGAAATAAAACAAAGTTATTTCTGTGCCTGTGATCAATGAAACTTTTTCAAGTAAAGTCATGGAATATCAGCAAAATTTGTTTTAGAACTACACTAAGAAAAGCACTGAGTCTCCATAAAACATTTTTAAGAGCCCTCAATTCTTGAAAGAGTACGTCCCAATACTACAGCAATACCTTGGTTAACTTGTTTCTTATTCCATATTTATCAGGTTGTTCTTGGCCTAAAATTCATTAACTTAACTACAGCCTACAGCCTAAGATCTAATTCTATGACTTGGTACATATTTCACTCTCCATGAGTCTGGTGCCAAGGTAATGTCAGGAAATATACCATCCTTCTGTTACAGCTAAATCTTTTACAGCATCCTAATTGAAATTTGTCAATTCCAGTGACCTGCAGAGGTATGGTAATTCTTTAAAAGACATAGCATACTTTTCAAAAAACAAAAGGACCTATTCAACTCCCAAAACATGCATTCAGCACAATAAGCACAACCAAAATTAGTGGCAAATTAATGGAAAGGAATTTCAGGAACTTGACTTAAATTCTTGACAGTTAACTTGGATAACTCAAAATCCGCCGCCCGGGGGGGGAACCAGCCCAAGATGAAAGGGTAAATTACCTCAAACAATGCTTCAGCAAGCATGACTATTCGTGAAATGCTTGCACGAGCACCAGACTCCTCAGCCCTTAACATCAAACCACATGAGCATGCACCATCAGGGTGAATTCCAGCTGGACAGGTGGCTGCCCGTCGATCAGTCCCACTTCGACCAACATCGTGAAATCGTTCCCATATCTGCTAGGGAATAATGGTGCTTGATAAAGTAAGATTTAACCATGCAGATGGGATACCACTAGTAAATTAACAGTGAAGTCAAGACATGCAGTCAAAATCTAACTTAGATTCTAGATCAGTTTTAACGCTGAGGAGGACTGGCACATAGACTAATGGAACCAATAGGATAGAGGCGCAATCTACATGATATGATGGAAAACATAGTGTCGTAACTACAAAACAAATTAATTGTAGCTAGAAGTATTCTGATAAATGGAAGACCAGTAGTATCTGAGCAATTACCTCAGAACTGGAATGCCACCGACGTTCATTGGTATTCTGGTCGCTACTTGGATGTGGTCGTGAATCACCTCCAATCCCATCCTCAAAGAAATCGCCATTAAAATCAAGAAGCCATCTGTCATAAGATTCAAGTCCATCGGAGTCATCTGCTGTAAAAAGATGTGATCTGGACTCTGCATTCCTTCTAGAACTGCGTCTTGAGAAAGCATCCCAGAAAAGTCTTCTGCTATTATGTCTTGCTTCATGATTGCTCAATCCAGCAGAACTACTAGGTGACATATTGGAGGAGACACTCACCATGTCAACTTGAAGTACATTCCTGTCTGTATGACCCTGATCTCTCTCTGTCAACAGGAATCCTAGACTCGAAGGAGTAATCTGCTGAGAAGTATCACCCACTGGAGATTCAGAAAGAACAGATGCTGAACCAGAATCACAGTCGTGGAAAAGCATCAGTTCATTTGCACAATTTTCAACTGATACTTCATCTGATGAAGATTCTCCAAGTCCAACAGAAGATGGACAATTAGAAAGCATAAAGCCAGCACAACTATGAGGCACATTCTCATTCATCACATTGTTACCCCGGTTAAGAGCATCTGCATTCGCCCTGGCATTTGCAGATTCTGTTTCTGTAGAAGGTTCATCTTCATAGGATGTACTAGCATCATAGCTTCTACAAGTAAGAAGTGATTGAGAATTAAACGCTAATTCCTTATTCTCATACAACCTTTTTCCTTTATCAATTGCCTCAACATTTCCAGGAGAATCTTCTCTAGAAGAGCTATCGCCAGGCAATGTGCCTCTTTGAGATCCAGCTCCAGTTTCAGTTGTAGGAATTGGATGTTCAGTACCACTGTGAAAAGAAGAACTCTTAGGTGGAATTTGGATCTTCTCCAGACCATCGTCTTCAGCAGAATTTACCAGTTTTTCAGCTGGATCATCTTCCATCTACAGAAAACAATGGCCAATAAAAAAAACTTAAACTTCAATACCTAACCTACCTAGCCCATTTCAAAACTTTATTCAAAAAAATGCAATCCAACAAAGCATGGAAGTCTTTCTTTGCTCCAAACAAAACAAAAAAATAATTCAGCAAATTTAAATGATATTGACACAAAAAGGCCACAAGTTAACACACCAACCACACCGGCAAACAAACGTAAAACCATGCTTTGACTGCAGTTGGTTTTATCAGCTGTACTCGAGAGTTAAATAATCACAGTTGATGATAATATTGCTCTCCTTTTCCTGTTACAGAACTGCATATGAGATTTACACCTCACATGGCTCTTCCAGAAGACAAATACATCAAATCACTAATTAAAATAATATTTCCGCAAGAAAGGTTTGGCAGAAAGCCAGAAGAGCAGAGAGGGTTTCAAACAAACTTGCCCCAATCCACACAATACTTTTGCATGCTCCAATCTGGAAGGAAAGGCAGCACGTACAAGAATTATCTTCAAATCAAGCATACAGATCTCAGAAGTTGCAAATGAACCAGACATTGCTATCGTATATTAGTATCTGCTCATACACCTAATAGAGTAAATAAGAAGTAAATAAAAAAATAATAATAAAAAACCGATTCCTCTTTCACTCTCAGGTTTACTCAAAATAGTAACATTTCCTCTCCTCTTCCCTCAGTTTCACTGTTATTTCAGTATCAAGTTCTGAATTCAAGCTCCCATACTGAGAAGAAGCTCAATTCACTACAACCTAACA